GCAGCTCTATTACGCCCGGGACTGGCATTGCCAAAGACTCTCTTTGATGTGCTTATATACACCGACCCCCAGTCAAGACTCCAGACCAGCTATTCTACTCTCTGGGTCTGGGTTCATAATTGAGGTTTTTGCTTTGTAGTAGTAGGGTATTCCGCAGCAGGAAAACAGGAACCTAGAGAAGGGAAGCAAGACTGCTCGATCCTTCTCCACGCTAATTGGTTGCACTGATAAATAGATTGTTCAACTGGTGTGAACGCGCGTGAACGCACAAGTATTCAACACTTCGATGCACACTTTTAAGTGTTTGACTGGATATTTGAATACTATAAAGTGTTTAACAGTAAAGTTAAACACTTGCTCACTGTGGCGCCTTATGGCCCCGCGCGAGCACGCAACTCGTCCACACGCCTGCATACGGTACAGTGTAACTAGATCAATACAAAGAAGGCGCAGATCACCCAACCCACTCTGTATCGGATAAAACTGGGTTAAACTTTCAAGTGGAAAGGGGGTTAAGAACAGGAGGGGGGGGGGACAGAAGAGGAAAAAGGGCAGGCGAGGCTCGGCCAAATGAAACGTCAGGGCTGTAAGCAGTTAAACTTTTACGAGGCCTCCCTGGTGAGCTGCTCCTCTGCCTGCCCAGCCCAGCCCAGACGCACAGCCCCCGCCCGGGCTGTGCTGTGCTGTGCTGCTGCTGGCACTTCAGCAGAGAGGGCTCCTCTCCTGGTTGTTGCATCTGTGCATCGCGATCCAACGCGCCAGAGGCCATCGCCACGCCAGGCGGCCGCGGAGGAACTGCACACGCATGCAACTCCTTACGACCCTGTTGGACGCTCCTGTAAACCGTGCGCCGACCGCACCGAGTCAGTCCACTCCACGCACCGCAAACACCCGATACAGCGCCTCATTTCCTTTCCGACGCGCCGAGGGAAAAACACGCCAGAGAGGGTGCGCGTTTATGCTTCGGCATGGGCATAAGCTGATTTACACCCCCAGGCGCCAGGCACATAAGCTTGGTACTAAGCCCGAGGAGACGAGGAGGTTTACCATGCCCCTCCGATTTCGCGTGCTTTTCTTTGAGCGGCGCGCGGTATAGGCGCGACGCGAACAGCGCGCGGGGGGTTAGTTTTGCGCGCGTTTCTTTCTTCAAACGGCAGACAGGTGGTCGCGCGTGTGGAGCGGCCCCGACCCGACCGACGCCCCCTCCCAACAGGGTACCAGCGCGGCGAGCGGGCGCAGGAGGAGGATGAGGAGCAGGTGAGGGAGATCGGGGGCACAATGGAACCAGCCCGGCGAGGCTCCAGAGCGGATTAGCGTGTCAAACTGACTTTGTTGCGTTATGGGACGGGGCACATCGCTGCGTAACGAGACAGGCGGGGCGCGCGCGGAGCTGAGCGGGGGGCGGGGATCGTGGGGGGATTTTGATTGCCCCTTTCAACCCCCCTCCCCCTTTTCTGGGTACCGCACCGCGAGCTACTGCTTTGATGAGAGAATGTCTGTCTGAGCCGATTACGAGCTGATGTCTTTCAGGATCGAGCCCCATCCTCGCCCATCGACGGGGTGACGGTGACGGCCTCGGCCAGGAGGCAGGGACCTCGGGCTGCGCCTGCGCTCCGCAGGGTCCTTCAGAAGGCGTTGGTAGGGGCGGGGCGGCCGGGGCGTGCAGCCCACCGAAATAGGTCGACAAAGTCCAATGGAATCTGCTGCTATGACGCGCGAGCCCTGCAGGGCGGCCCCGGTGAGGAGGGCCGTGGGGAGGGGGAGGGCGCTGGACGAGACGGAGGGTAGCCTAGCCGCCAGTAATAGAAGCACTCGACCCGGATTCACCGGCGGAGCCAGCGCGGGCGTTCGTTGCCCCGCCGCGCCCCGCCCGGCCCCGCTCGGGTGGCCCTCGACGAAGGAGCTTGGAGTTCCGAGGGGCCGCGGGGGGGTCCTCGAACGTGGTCGTGGTCGGGTCCCGGCGGCGCTTCGCGGGCGGGGCGAACGGGCGGGGTATGGCCACGGCCACGTCGGCTGCATCCCCTGCGGCGTGCGGGGCGCGGCCTGACCAGGGTGCAGGTGCATGGTCGGCAGGTTGGATTTTTCTCCATCCTTAAAAAGCCATGTACTTACAATCCATAGGTCGTCTCTCAACCTCTTGCACCCGACCACCCCCTCTGGCGCCCCTAACGCCCGGCCGGGGGACGGGGCCGGGCTCCCCCGTGACCATGACCGTGTCGCGGCGCACGTCCGCACGCGCTGCTCCCGCCGCCCAAAGTTTGCTTACCTCCCCAGAGGAGCCGCACGCTGCGCACGCTGCGCGCTGCCATGAGCCATGAACCGCCCCGCCACCCGCCGGGCCGTATGTTGCTGCTGTGGTGAGTTGTTTTCGAAGCCCATCACCGTGAGTGATTGCATGGCAGCCCTGCTTCCCCCCCCCCCACACACACACACCGCGGCCCCCGTGGGAGAGAAAAGATCAAAAACTGCGAGGGGAGAGGGGAGGGAGGAGCGGGGGGCTGCTGTGTAAGCCCTCGATACCTCGGCTTTGACCGCGCCTCCCCCACGCGGACACGATACACACTGGGATCGCTGCTGTGAATGGTGCCGCGACCATCGGCAGCTCAGGGATGGACGGTGCGTCGTGCTGGGGATTTGTATAAGACTCACGGCGCCCCCCCCCCCCCCGGGTCCCTGCGAGGATTAGCAAGGGGCGCGCTGGCGCTGCTGGACCGAGCCGCGAGGAAATGAGTCTGAGCGAGTGGCCGTCGTGTGGTCCGGGCGCCCTGGGTGTGTGTGGGTGAGAGTAAAGGGTGAGCATGGCTGGCGATGGTGTCGTTCGCATGAGGGATTCGGTCCGCCGCTACGACTGGTCTGTGGTGGCCGCGGATGGTGTCCCCGGTCCAGTGGCCGCGGATGGTGTCACCGGTCCGGTGGGCCGCACGGCCGATGGGCCTCGCCGGCCTCGCCCCGTGCGCGCCCAACCACCGTCAGCAGCGACAGCCCCCGCTCCACCCGGCCGATCGACGCGCGATGAATGGGAATCAGTCTGCATGGCGCTCACCGCGGCCTGTCCCCCGCGGCCCATGACCATGACCTGCGAGCTGCCTCGGGCCCTGCATCCCTGCACCCCTGTTGCCGTGCTGTATCCCTAAAGCCCTGCAGCCCTGCAGCCCTAGCCCTGTAGGTGGGCGCGCTCCCCCGCTGCCCCCCCCCCCCCTCTCTTGTCTGCTTTGCTTGCATATTATGCCAGCGGATCTTGCTCGACTCGACTCCAGTATTATTTTTGATGTTGCAAGTCAAAGCGCCCGTTGTTGCCTCTCCCAGTCTTTCGCTCTCCCTCCCCGACCGTTCGGTATACGTATAATAATGAATGTGAAAAAGTACTGGCGGCGTAAAGCCCCGAGGAGTGTGTGTGTGTGTGTGTGTGCGGCAGAGTTCGGCTGCTGCTGCTGCTGAGCTCTGGCGCACCACTTGCCGATACCGTATAATCTGGATGAGGGCGGTCGGATATTCCCCGCCCCGTCCGTTTCCAATCATTCCCCCCGATGATATTCTCCTTTTGATGAGGGCGGTGCCCGCGGTGGGCCCGGCGGGGCTGGCGGGGCGGGCGGGCCTAGCCTAGAGGGACGGGCTCTGGAATGAAAGCGGCGCGGCGCCACATCATGCTCCGGTGGCCGCTCTACCGGCGGTGCCTCGCCGTGCTACGCGCTGGAAGCTCCGTGGCTGGAAGAGGATGGCTGAGAGGGGGCGGGCGGCGGGCGGGCGCAGCTGTGCAGCTCGCGACGGGCGCGCCGCTTTGCTTTGCTTTGCAGTCTGCGGCGACGCCTTGCCCTCCCTGCAGTGCCTTTCTCGCCCTCTCGCTCTGTCCCTCTCGCTCTCGCTCTCCCTCTCTTTCTATCTCTGTTCCGCTCTCAGGAGGTTTTGATGAGGCAGCGTCAACGGGCGGGGGGAGGGG